GGCCGGTTTGGATACCTTCGCTCGGGTTGGGCGGGGGGGGGGGGGCGTCGATTTGACCCCTCAGATCTCAGGAGCCAAGAGAGCTAGAGACACCAAATTCACAGGGTGTGTTGGCCTGTACCTGAACCCACTTAGGCTATAGTTTGAGGTTCCTAGGTCATGACCTTTGGATCAAATAAGGTTAAACAAATTCGAACTCCTGGCTAGTCCCCAAAGTGCCTCCAGAAACTAGATACCTGTTGTAAGTAAAGGGTCGCATGCTCGTTTAAGGTTAGTGACTTCGTTTGACCTTTTGAAGGTCATGGTGACCGAAATTGGACAAGACTGCTCTGAGGCTGCGTTTGAATAAGCAACAAGGATTACGCTGGGCAGTACACTCCTAACAACAAAATGTTGACCTGTGTCATTTTAGGTCAGTGACTTATTCTGACCGTGATAAATCCATGGAGTATGTATGATGCCGTTCCTGTTGTCAATAAATTCCAATTGGACACCAGTAACTACCTCATTAATCAAGCCTCAAGGCAATAAAGCACGATGATTTTGACCTAGGTCTGACCTTCATACCTGACCTTGGGCCAATGGAATTTGTTTATTCAGTTGTGTTGTCTAGGAGAATATCTCAGATATGTATGACTTCGTCTAACACTCCTTTGTTGCATGAGATCAAACGGTTCCTAAGAAACTGACTTCGCTGAATCTATGGCCTGACTTTGACGAACTGTAGCTCAGCGATCTTACAAGGTACGTTTGAATGTTCGGTACCAAACAATCTGCTATTCAATTGTCTACAGTTATGCGCGCCGTCCGGGAGCCATTCCGGAAAAAAACAACATTCGGGGGTGACAAATTACCCCCACCCGAGCGCGTGTTAAGAAAGCGGTCCCAAATGACATTTCAGTCTGTCAAAGAACGCTGTCTCACGTTCCATTAAGCCCTTAATTAATTATCGGGCCGCTGTTGTGAAATGGTACGAGTTCTTTCGCTGCTGGGATTATGTTTGGCTTACGCTCGTGTTTGGTTTAACTACAATAGAGGATCAGCATTGTGCGAAGCGCAGTTTGTAGCATGATGGTGACAATTGCGATTGTTGGAAGGTATGATTTGATTTTGGAGTAGGTCACGTTCTGATGCTCTAATAGTCTTGCGCTTTGATTACTCGTAGAACGCTTTTTCAAAATTTATGCAGCTTATTATCTGTACTCAGTTCACTTATAGCTGACCCAGTTTGTTGTTGCTTCTGGTCGTCCTGCTCGAAACATTGCTAGTCCACTAAGGCCCCGGTTACGTCAGCCGGTTCATGCGCGCACCTCGGAGCACCCCGGAGCACCCCGGAGCACCCCGGAGCGCTCGACCGAACAGCGCCCCGGAATGAGTATTGGCACCTTTAAGATGACATGTTTTAATTCTGGTCGAATTGGTTCGGACCCGGAGTCGTTACGGCGGACGGGTTGTCATTCGCACGTCTGAACGTTGGTCGTGCGGGCGCACGGTATGCATGGTATGTGAGAGGATAATTAACCAATCTGTCTACTCCGTTCGACAGCGCGCTGCCATGTGCACATAAGAACGGGTGTGCGTGCCGGTGCAGCTGGATGCTGGTGCCGGCACAAGTAGTTCTGTCTCGTTTAACTACGACTTTCGGTTGCCGAAAGCCCAGTGGCACGTCTGGATATCCGCCGCTCGGGGGGGGGGGGGGGGAGGGGGACTGGCGGTGCGGACTCGGGACCTCAGTGTCAGTGCACAGTCGGCGGCTGGCCAGCAAACAGCGCGGCATTTGGTACCGAGGAAAACGGGCAATTTTGCGGTAACCTACGTTGGGTTGATCGCGACCAAAGTGTTATGAATTTCGCAAACATTCGGCGTGGATATTAATCCCCGTGAACTGAGCCTTTCGGCTGTCAATTTCATGGCCGCAGAATGCCTATCTTAATCGTCAACGTTTTGCAGTTGATATTGTGTTTCAACCATGCGACATTGATCTTTTCCCAGTTGATTGCTGGCGTGGCTATGGCTCTACCAGTGATTGGCTGGCCGTGTGATGTGTAGACGGCAGGTGTGCCCGCACGGTGCGGCTGGTAAAACTGTCGACCCCGTCGTTTGTGCACGAGCGCACGTGCTCGGCCGTCCGCGCCGGTTGACATTTGGCTACACTTTTACCCGTTCTTTTCCGAGTCGACATGTGTTGTTCTCGTTACGCTGTGGCTCGCCATTGGCGCGGTATGAACCAGATTTCGATTGGCGTTTCAGCAATCTTTGGCATCCTGCGAATGTTGTGCTCCATGTTGATCGAGCAGCAGGCGTCGACGTCGCCCCGCTGGTCGGATCGGGTCCCAAGTGTAACCTAGTGGCGCGACCCTGCTGACCCAGCCGCACGCGACGCCGCACGTGAGCGGCTACCATTTGCACCTGGCCGGGACCCCGTGTGTGCATGACGGATGAGCTGGCGTGGCGAACGCTATAATGTTAGGCGATACTGTTGTCTCGAAACATTGTAGAACAAGCCGAAGGCAATCGAATGGTCAGTCGAAGCGACGGTCACGCGTCTCCACGCATTCGTGTTTGAAAGGATCACCATCATCTGACCGTGTGCTCGGTTGGCGGAGGACAGCACACATTCTGCTGTGAAATTACAGTCGCCCAGGTTCCGGTCAGTTGGCGGGTAGTGTAACCAGGCTCATTCATCTCGCCAGACGTGAATGCGCTGCCTCTGAGCCCGACGTTGCGAAAGCCTGGCCCAGCTCTTGACAGCCGGCCGAAGAAAGGCTGGGCGGCGGCGTGTGAGCCCCCCGCGCGGCCCGGTCCTGTCCTGTCGGGCCGCGCGGCCCGGTCCTCCCCTGTGGGCCGCGCGCAGCCATTGAGTCCGCTGGCTGCACGTGGCGGCGGCGACCCCGTCCGGCCGGCCCAGTTCCAGACAAAAGGCGCCGCCGACGGGACGGCGCACTGGCCGCCGGGGTGGGGGTCGGGCAAAAAATCGGTCGGCGCGCGCCCTCGCGCCGCGCCACAAAAACGCGCCGTCGCCGGTGTGTGCCGGCCGGCCGGTCGGCGGCGCGCCGGCGCCGGTGGCCTTGGCGCCAGTGAAAGTACCGCAGCGCGCCCTTTGTGCGGCCGACGGCGGCCGGCCGGGCCAGGCGGCGGCAGCTGGCGAGTATGGAGGCCCTCCGGCGGCGGCCGACTCTCGGCACTGCCGCCGCCTCCTCCGCGCGGCTCCGGCCTGCGCGGCGGGTGGGCGCCGAGCTGTCGCTAGCGACGGCCAGGGTCTCGCTACGCTCCATGCCCTCCGACCCGTATCGACGCGTGCGGACGCAGACGCGGGCAATGAGGCCGCAGGGCGGGCGGGGCGTCCGCAGGCCAGAGCGGGGGCGAACCGGCCTGCAGGTCGCGGCGCCGCGAGGCGGCGGGCCGGCCTGGCCGGGTGTGGGCCAGCGGACGGCGCGCCGTTGCGACACCCGCACAGGACACGGCCGTCGGCTGCGGCCACCCTTTCTCGGCAGGGGCGCACTTGCGACACGCCGCTCGGCGACCGTGGCGACCTTGTTTCGCTAATGGCCGTCCTTTCAGCCTCGCTTGGGCCCGGGTCAACTCGGAGGTGCTCGGCGGGCTCATCGGGAGACCCTTTCGTGGTGTGGGAAAGTTTGGGTGAGCATTTTGTGCGCTTTCCGTCATTCAGGGGAGTTGTGTTGATATACGTGGGGCAAAAGTCAGACTGATCCCCGAGGGAGAATGTTGCCCTCTGTTTTCCAATGTGCGGCCAACATAAACGTTGGTTGGATGTTTCATGGACTTAATCGTGTTCTTCAATATGCCCGTCGCTCGGTATTTACTTTTCTTCATTTTCTGCCCCGGCAAGGTGGATGGTGAATTGTAACCAGTTTTAGGCGGCTGGTATCGGCGGGCGTCATTGCGAAAGCAAACGCTGTTTCGCAATGCAAAGTTGCTGAATTCGGCGACCGTCAACACGGGAAAATGACGAAAGCCGGCTGGATGGGCGGTTATCGGCTGGTGCGGTCGGCAGCTGTGCTGATCCCGGTCAGGGCCGGCCGATTGACCCACGTGGCCGATCCGCGAGCGCAGGGCGCCGCTCCAGCCGCGCTCAAACGCTGGAGGTGCAGATGATCGGCCTGACCCCGAGCCACGGGGCCCGCTGTGTGCGGCCAAACAGCTGTGGCCGCTCGCAAGGGCTTGTCTTTCTCTTGGCCGCCCGGTAATGTGTCCCGCATCGTTTCGACAGCCTGTCGTATCGTGCGCTCGGGGGCGTCAGGTGGTGTCTGTGGAACTTGGAAACGAAATCGCGCAGCGTGAGCGAATCTTTGGCACGTGCTTGTCGGTATTTGAAAAAGACTCCTAATGATAATGCAATCCCAACTGCACTGGACGCTCACAATCTAGTCCCGGTCAACCCGAAGTAAAAGTGTTTCCCGCAATTGGCCGTGGTTGTAAAACTCGGCAAAGAGAGAGGGGGCGAGTCCAATCGGCTGGTTTCCCGTTTCCAACGCAAACAGTGAGTGACTTTGGCCTCGTGCTGTGCAGCTTGCGCTTGCCGCCGCGTCCTTTCACTAAGGCGCCCATGCAGCTGGCAGGCTTTGGTCGAGGAAGTGCTTGGACCCTGCGCGAGTCGGGGAAAAGGTGTTAGCAAACCCGAAGGCACCAGGAAAGTCGAATCTTGATGCGATGCTCCGGCGTGAGTTACGTGGACGGGATACACGGCGCCATCTATGCGCGCCGCCCACAACCACAACTGTGCACAGCCGCCGCTGTCAGCAGCACCGTCGCTCCCAGCCCGCGCCTTGTGTAACACCATCACATCTGTCGCCAGGTGGAGGACCAGATGAAGCTTCTGCAGGCCACGTGGTCGGTGATCATGATCCTAGATCACATCCACCAGCGACTGCACAACAATCTGCCTGACAGCACAACGCTGCCCAACGGGCAGAAGTTTGACCTGCTGACACTCAGCCTGTTCGGCATGACCGAGCTGGTGCCGCAGCTCAACGACGTGACGGCGCGGCTGCAGGAGCTCAGCTTCGACGTCAGCGACTACATCTGCCTCAAGTTCGTCCTTCTGCTAGACCCCAGTGAGTGTTGGCGGGAACGGCAGGGGCAGGCGTGCGCAGACCGCGGGCAGGGTGTGTTCGGTTAACGGAGGGCCGTAACCGGACCCAGTAGCTTTGGTTGTGGTCCCCACCGTGGTGGTGCCCACTGCTGGCCAATAGGCTATTCCCGCTTGGACTGTCAACAGCCGCAGTTCCCTCAGCTGCTCAGACTTGCCTGTTTATCTGGACACCGCACCGTGCCCCGGGAGGAGTTCTCCACGGCGCCGGTGTGTGGCCGATGTCGGCATGAATGGGCGTGTGGGTGGGTGGCTGTGCGCGCACGCGGACGGGCGTTGGGTGGTGGCGCCCAGCCCTGCCGGCCCTCGCACCCTAGCCAGCGCCGCTGCTGGGGCCACGCTGACGCGCCGCCCGCGCTCTCCGCCAGACATGCAGACGCTGGGCAACCGGCGGCATGTGCAGCAGGCGCAGGACCAGGTGAAGCAGGCCCACATGGACTACTGCAGCACCGTCCACACGGACATACAGGTGGGGCCGCCGACCGGACGGCGCCGATGAGCCTGGCTTGGGCCGGGCGCGCCAGCTGGGGGTGGGGCCGAGACCTGACCGGCTTCCCACGAGCTGTGGCCGTGCGCCAGTCGAGGGGACGGGCTCCCCGTGACAAGCCTCGCCGGTCCAGCTGCGAGTGAGGGCACGCTCGGCGCGTCGCTCTCTCGCGTACAAAGCCTTTCGGCGCCGATGTGGGCCAAGCCGAGCTGCGTGTGTCGAAGCGTCCGTCGCCCCCGCGTGCTACCGGGAGCTGCGGCCTGTGCGTGCGCGCATGTGTGCGTGTGTTTTCGTGTGTGTGCGTGTGTGCTTCAGCTGACCGTCGTGGCGCGCGCGGGCCGACCGTCCGCTGCAGGGCAAGTACCAGCGTCTGATGGCGCTGCTGCCGGAGCTGCGGGAGCTGGCGCTGCGCGGCGAGGACTACCTGTACCAGAAGCATGACACCAACAGCGCCACCTCGCTCCTCATCGAGATGCTGCACGCTCGCAGGCGTGAGTGAGCCGGGCAGCCGCCCTTCTCACGGCGCTGACCGCCGTCGCACGGCATGGAGGGGGCTCAAGGGGGCTCAAGCCCAGGCACCGCTGATGAAGGGTTCTTCCGGTGTTTATTCCGGATGGTTGTATTTGGACCAGAAAGGGTCTGGAATGACCGTCTGTGTTGGAAGTGTATGATATGGGACGTCAGCACTTCAGAAAATTTGTGGTGGAGCACTAGAATAGTGGTCCACTCCTGCCCCTTGCAGGTCCTGCTTTGCTCCTGGTCCGGGTTGTGGCTATAGCCCATCAGGCTGCTCATGAGTTACGCACAGTCGGTAGCTCTCTAACGCACAGTACGCTGTCTGACCGGATGTAGATGTAGGTCCATGCTGTCATACTTTTGGCTCCTCGGCGGCCCCCTCACATTACCTAGAAGCGCCGATGATGGGTTGACGTCTGTCCGGCTCGATGCTGATTGGTCTATCTTGAGTGAGGAGGAGGGCAACTGGTATTGATCCCCGAGCCAGAGGTGTGATGACACGAGCAGTCTACATAGAAATCGCTGCCACCCGAATCGGCCACACATTGTCGAGCGTTGGTGGACTGTGGCCTGCCGGTGCGGACGGGGGCGGCGGCGCTGCTGCCGGTCCGTGCGCTGTTGGCGGCGCCGCGCCGGTGACTTGTGCGTGACCGGCCGCCTGTCAGTTCTAGGGCGAGTGCCAGCGCAGTGAACCGGGCCGGGCCGGGCCGGCGGCGGCGGAGCGGCCGGCCGCCGGCGCCTCTCGGGCCCGATATTACCAGTACAAACGCCGAGGCCGCATCATCATCCCTACGCTGGCGCCGCCTGGCGGCCGCCGCGCCCACCGACGGTGCGCCGGCCGCCCGCCAGGGACGGACGCCATCATTGTGAGCATTGGCGGGCGGTGTGTCAGTGAGTGAGCGCGTGAGAGTGGGGAGGCGGGGCGCGGCCGCCGCGGTGCGATTTCGGCAGAGACAGGACTCGGTGGACGTCGCGCCTCGCAGCACACACTGCCCTTCCTCTGCTGTCACCGGCTCCTGCTCCTCTCTCCGTCTCACTCTTCCGCCCGACGCTAGTCTGCGCGCCCTTCTCACTTGCTGTATCTGTGGTTGTGTGCCCGTGGTGAGAGCACGCTGTGAAGGGGTTATTTTTGGTACACTCTATGCGGCTGCGTTGTTGAGATGGGTCGGGCCGCTTGGCCCAACTGCGATTGAGTAGTTAGCTGTTGCGCGATGTCACAAAGACTGGCACAGTCGTTAACAGCGTTTCTGGAGTGGTGTGACGTTAGGCGCGGACGAAGGCTCTGTATGGTGTGTGCGCAGGCGTGTTCGGTATGCACAAGGCGTTAGCTGTTCGGGCGCTGTACGTAACATGGGCCGACGTACCTGAGACCGTTACAGAAATCTGTATTTTGCTACATGAAGTGATTTAAGCCGGCGTCGGCTGGACGGCGATCAGAAGCGTGTTTTATTTCTGGCACGTGCGGCGGCGGCGGCGGCGTGCCGCCTGGTGTGGCTGAGTGGGGCGGTGCGCGGCGGCCCCGGCTCGAGCGCGCCGCCCCCGCCCGTCTGGCCGGCGACGGCGACCGGTGCGCGTCCTCCCGACGGACCTCTTTTGTTACCATATTGTTATAAATTATGGAGGCGGCGGGTGGGAGCGAGTGAGGCGTCGGGCGCCAGCGCCGGCGCCCCGCGCGCGCGCGCGTCGCCAGCCCGCGTGACCGACCACCGGTGTGCAGTAGTGGGGAGTAGGCTTTTGACTGCGCTGTCGCTCTGTCTGCCTCTATGGCGAAAACGGGGACATTCCGGGAATAGGGCATTAAGATGTGTACTGTGCACGTGCCTGCTGTCGAGGTTCGCCTCCCGTAGCCGTGTGTCCGTGTCGTGTGCGTGGCTGAGCGTGCCTGAGCGTGAATGGGGGTACGCGGTTCAACCGCGTGCCTTTTAGAGCCGTGCGCGTGCTGGTGTGCGAGTGCTGTCCGGTTCGCTGGCGTGGCTTGCGAACCAAGAGTGGGTGAGAATAAAATATTGTGGTGAGCCTCATGTCTTTCCTGGAGTGGATCGTGTGCGGCCAGCTGTTTCGGCGTTTCCGGGCTCTAGGCTTCTGACCTTTTCCCCGCTTGCTCATGGTAGCGCTAGGCATCATGCATCCATTAGTGTTTAGCAGTCTGTGTTGACATCGCACTAGTCATGTGGTTATTTTTGCTAGTCATCTCGACTTGTGTTCAGTATGCTTTTAGCGCGGCCGTCGTCCCTGGACGGCGGTGCGGGCGCGGGCGCGGCGAATCGTGAGGTGTTTGTGTAACATTCCATGCGCGTCTGTCTAGGGGTGTAGCGTCGGGTTGTGGCATCTCTTGACCGGTGGTCGGTCCCGGGCGGGGTGGGCGCCGCCGGCGCGCCGGCCGGGGCGGTCGCGGCGGCGCGTCTGTCTGTCTGCCTGTCTGTCTGCCTGCCTGCCTGTCCGTCTGCGTGTGACGCCCGCGAGTGATGGTGGCGAGAGACGCCATTTTAGTCTGCTAGAGCACATTGGAGACGTGATTCCCTGTGGGACTCGTGTGGAAGGAAATAAAGGTATATCACCAGCCTTGCAGCCTTCTTTTTCGGTTGGCTTCAGCGGGCGTCCAGTGCGGCTGACCCACCATCGCCGATGTGTTCCTAACGACAGCCTTGTCACGAGTCACGTCAGTCAGTCAGTCAGTCTGTCAGTCAGTCATCAGCTGAGTCACGAGGCTCGTCACTGAAGGGACGGACGAGCGCTGCAGGTGGCTCTTCGTGGAGGTAAGACTGCGTGGGGGGACGTCCCATGTTTTGGTGTAGAGAACGACAAGACGCGTAGGCGTGTTGTGGGCCAGAAACCTGAGTGCATGTTTGTTGTCCGTACAGCTCTTCATTGGCCACGGACACTGCGCCATTAAGACATTCTTGGCGTCAGTCTTTAGTCGGTGGTCAAGACTTCTGTAGAAACATGAACGCGTTACGTGCCGCGTGTATAGTGGTCCTCCCTTCTAGAAGACAGGTAGCCACTCGCACTTTCAGGGTGGGCAACTACGGTAACTGTTAGACCGGGCAGTTGCAAAAAGATATCAAACCAGCGTGGTGTAGCATAGGTGCCAAATCCATGCACGTGATGAGGTGTCGCCATGTGGAGTGGGGCGCAGGAAGTTGGCAAGTTAGCGATGTATTTCACGACGAGCTCCGATTTCATAGAAAAAAACGCCAAATGTCTATCACGGCATGAGAATACCAGGTCTGGCGTGTTTTAACCCGTGCATGGCCGGATGGGGCAGTTGGCTTCCTTCCTACGGGTTTTCGAACACAGCTCAAAAATAAACGCTCGTAACGACTCAAGATTCTCAGTACCTGCCTATCTGTCAATTTGGCATGCTTTGTGCAAAGCTGAAGTTCTGATCTACCAAGATCAGTGACCTAGTGCTGGTCAAAGGGCGGCCTCCAAAAATGTTTGACGATGCGTAACTTGTAGGTTATTTGACATTGTTTAATTTGGCATAGTGATAGATCACAATATTGCCCAAAGTTTGCATCTTTCAGATCTATGAGAAAATGCAAGGTAAGTGACCTGAAGTCAGGTCAAGTTCTGCTATTTTATCGTAAATAATGCAAGCTGTACGTATTTTTGTGTAGCTTTGGCGTGATATATAAGGAAAAGAGTACTAACTCACATGCGCAACCATCATCACCAGAGAGCACATTACCTTGGCCCAGGCACGACCTATCCCCATGGCACCTTCTGCAAAACACCTGCTGAGCTCTAAATAGGCAGTTTTAGTAGGCAATTTTGGACGAAGAAGTCGAACACTCAACTGAGAGCATGTTGGGATAAAATTACCATGCACAATGAGATCACCTTAGGACATACAGGGTTATGTGGGGTCATTCAAAGTTAATGACCTATAGTCACCCTAAATGGTGTTTTGCGTTTGACATATTTTTCACAGCTGCACTTTATAAAATATACTCAGAAGCACGTCGTGAAAAATATACTCAGTCAGAGGCACATTGTGAAAAACCATCGTTCTTCTAGGTTACTGGTGGACCAAATTTAAACGGTGACCTGATCTGACCCGACCCAAGTGGGCGGGGGGGTGGGGGCAGAAATGGCCGGAACGAACTCCCCACAGTGTCTGTGGTTATTTCCGTGTCCTTCGTATCCGTATTGACGTGTTAGCGGAGGTATTAAATGCACCCATTGGAACGAGATACAGAACGACTTTCGTGATCTCTGGTGACTTCATATTTAACAAGGGATCAACACTCGAGTGCATTCTGCATTCTTTGATGAGGTTTTCAAAACGGCATCTTTGGTTTTCTCATACGGCGTCTGGAAGTTGGAGATCTCAGGAGGGAAATCAACTCCCCCAGCCGCGCGCGGCTGTCTCAGACCTTCGGCCGGGCACGGATTAACATCGCGTGACCTTCAAGGTCAAATCCAAAGCCAAATCGCGTAATATTTGCGAAAAGCTAGCGAACAATTTCGGAATTTCAAGCATGACATTTTGCAACGCATAAGCTAGCATTCTGAAGAGAATTATTGGTATCAAGGCAGCAAGGTGAAATGACCGTGGAGTCCATGCCGTGCAGAGGATCAATAATGTCTTCCGATGTCGACCGATTTCGAATTTTCAACGTCAGAACCTTATTCAGCGTGCGAACGAGCATTCGTCAAAAAATCTGACGTATTGATGTAAAACTTCGAGGTCAGTTCAGGGCCAAGGTGGCGGGAACTCGATTTCGTCCAAGAGTTACCAGCCAATTTCTGGTTTTCAAGCACTCGACTTCTTCAGCGCGTATGTCAGCGTCTGTCGAAAAGTCCTTACCTTTAAAAGTCAGCGTTGACGAGGGCGTCCAAGATGAAATGACAGGTGTTCACGGCATTGGTGGTGCGACTTAAGCTCCTACCGACAGGAATGCTACGACTTTTTCTACTGTCAATACTTAGACATGACTTCAACGCTGTGCGAGTTGACTTGTGCTGCGAAAAAACATACGCTCGTCACTCCTGCTGCAAGCACTTATGTTGTCATTACTTATGCCTGACAATGCCTCTACTGCAAAAGCTTAGTCGCGACATTAGTGCTACACGACAGAACTTGTGCTGCACACATTTATCCTCGTCATTACTTTACTGTAAAAATACATAGTCATTATTTATACACGACTTTACTTCTACTGCAGATAGCTATACGCAACATTCATGCTGCACGATAAAAATTATGTTCTAAAAACTTACTTCCGACGCTAACTCTTTTGCAAAAACTTATATAACCACTGCTTATACACTGCATTACTTCCAATCCAGACTCATACGCGATATTAGTGGTACAGAATAGACTTGTGGTTAAGTCTGCTGCAGAAGTAGTGACTTGTCTATGTTTTTCAATATAAGTTTTGTTGTGCAGCACTCATGCTATGCATGAGTCTTTGTGGTAGATGTAATGTCGCGTGCAAGTGAAAGCAAGAAATTTTGCAGGAGATTTAATGACGTATAAACTTTTGAATTACCAATTTCATGGTGAAGCACCGATATAGGGTAAACGTTTTTTGCAGTGGAAGTAATGTCGCGTATAAGCTAAGTCTGTGTAAGCCCCTGCAGCAGAAATAATGTCGCGTATAACTGATGTACCATTCTTGTCGGTGGGTTTTTCCTGCCCTAGCACTACCGTCGTGACACCAAATGACGGGGTCTACGATAACATTTAACGGTTGCCGGTCGATTCCTGATTTCCGCAGCACCAAACTCTTCTCCAGAGCATAAATCTTGCTTCAGTCGAAAAGTGTTGTGCTATCAATGTCAAGCTTCGAGGTATACGTTCACCGTGTGAGGGCAGGACATGTCGACGGACGCTGGTTCACGCGCTGAAGATTCTCATGCTTAACAATCTGAACCGACCGGCAGTTTTTGTGTGATGAGGAATTGCCGTCATTCGACCTTGCGTTTGAAAATTGACCTTGCGAGGAGAAAGAGCAGCTTCATCGCAAGGTACGGCTAGGCAGAGGAATGGGTAAAACAGAACGACGCAGGACAGCGCAGCAGTCTGCGCTTTGTCGTGCAGTGTTGCATGTGCGGGAAATTCCTGGTCCGTGATGCCTACGGCTAGGCCCAGTCGGCCCAGTCTGCGAACAAGCCACAGTTGGACGACACGAGCCCCATGACCTGGGATTCTCCTAACGCGTCGTGGAATCACCGAGTGCGGTCGAGCGTCGCCAGTCGGGTATCCGCGCGGCCGACCGGCCTCTTCCGGTGGGATTTCGAGGCGCCGTCTAGACGAGCCGGACATCCGCAGCTCCGGCCAGCACGGCTTGGCCTCTCGGCCGAGCGCTGCGCTCGTAGGCAGGTCACTGAACCGAAAACGTCCCGACGATGTAGGCCACGCACCGCAGTGACGGCGGTTGGTAAAGACATGAGGGGTTTAATATTTCTGTTCAGCTTGGATGACACTGGTGGTGAACGCCATCACAGTGCGTGGTACGACGCAACATTTAACACAGGCCACACTACCGTGTACTGTGTACTTCCTTAGCTTGTCGGTAATTTATGCTGGGCTGGAGGTTACTAAGCCACCAAGAGACGATAGGTATGGATGGAGTTTTATATCTTTTCGTGGTGGCCTCCTACCCCTTTCCACGGGCGCGGCTGCCTGTCCCGGACAGCCAGTTTGGGAGGGGCAACAGGGCGGACAAAGTGCCCCCTGCTAGCAGTACAAATCCGCGCCCAAATTGGTCGAATTCGCCCAACTCCATTTCAAAGGGACTAAATCTTATTTGTACGCGTCTTTTGTCATCTTTGACTGGGAAAAGGCACAATTAACCATACATGCAGTCTTGCTCGAATTTATTTGCAAGTCGATAAAACAAACAACGCACGAACTAAATGACTGCATGGAGTACACCAACGGCGCTTTTCATTTGGGAACGTTTCATTCGACCCTTTCTAAATAGATGAAGTCGAGGATGTTGCCGTGTTTTCGAAGTTTCACATAGGCATTGAGGGGCGCGAGGCTTGAACACAGAATAGATATAATCTGACTGATGGACTCTTTCATTCATATGTTGCGCGCGGGGGACGCGTCGCCGAGAGGGAGAGGAGGGGGGGGGGGGGGGGGTTCGCAGTGCTTAGTCGCCTTAGAGCGCGACGGCCGGCCGCCACGGCCGTTCAGAGAGTATCAGTGTGAGCCCCAGGGACGCGGAGCCCCCTGCTGAGGCGGCCGGCCGCCACGGCCGTTCAGAGAGTATCAGCGTGAGCCCCAGGGACGCGGAGCCCCCTGCTGAGGCGGCCGGCTCGCATGCGGCACGGCACGGCGCTCCGACCGACCAGTGGAGCGGCCTGGTGCCGAGAGCGAGCCACGAACCCACGACAGGGGCGGGGCGCCGCACTTCTCTGGGGCCGGCGCCACAGAGGGCAACAGAGGTGCGGCGGTAGTCTGTATTCCGCAGGAACCTGCGGGTCTGCTGGACTGGCGCCGCCATATTTGTGTGGCCCGTGCCATAGCGTTCATCGTCAAGCATTCTGGGACCTCGAATCCATTTTTCAATTTTTCTGCAGGATCTTTCGCAACGTTGGATGACACACGGAGATTTTGCTAAAAATCGCCCTTGATCTGGGATTTTTCCGCAATTTCGTCGAAGGTAGCACTTAAGAAACCAGTGCTAATTCTTTCGAATGGCCATTGGGCATCTAGGATCTTTTCTTGGCATCCAGGGAATGTCTGACCAGGAGTACAAGTCGCCGGGACCAAATCGAGGAACCTACTGAGACGAAAACCACGCGGACACTTAGCCCAATGGCAGTAATCGTTAACTATCGAAAACATCGGTGCTGAATGTATGCTCCAGTCAGGAGCAATGCGAGCGTAGCGCATTCATCATGCTGCTATAGCTGTTGTTCGCTAAGCGACCAATCGCCAACCCGTTTCAAAGCAACATCAGCGAACCGCTGTGGAAAGACGACTGCTATCAAAGAAAAGACCGATTTTTTGGGTTACCCAGGAAGTTAAGCTCTCTGCCATCACCCTGATCGCCAAGCGAACGAGGCATCATACTATTCATTGTAAATGTCGGAGAACATGCGTGCTCCCGCTGGGAAGCTCTTCCTGGGGAGCTTAAGCGGACTTCAACCAACTGAATTGGACCGGACCTCCAGGAAGTCAGGACCTGTGCTGACGACAGAGTCCCAATAGTCTGGTCATCAAGACATGGCTTAGCCCTGATGGAGGCTCTATCCCAGCGAATCGTTCCCCGCGGTTAAGCTTTTTTTCAAAAAGAAAGCTGAACAGTATGGTATCACATGGCAACTTCACCGAACCTGTCCGCAGTGTGTCCTCGCACAGCCATCGCCTGTCCGCAGTATGTCCTCACACAGCCATCACCTGTCCGCAATGTGTTCTCGCACAGCCATCACCTGCCTGCAGTGTGTCCTCACACAGCCATCACCCGTCCGCGGTGTGTCCTCACACAGTCATCACCTGTCCGCAGTGTGTCCTCACACAGCCATCACCTGTTTTTTGCAGTGTGTCCTCACACAGCCATCACCTGTCCGCAGTGTGTCCTTGCACAGCCATCACCTGTCTGCAGTGTGCCTTCACACAGCCATCACCTGTCCGCAGTGTGACCTCACCCAGTCATCACCTGTTTGTTTGCAGTATGTCCTCACACAGCCATCACCTGTCCTCAGTGTGTCCTCACACAACCATCGCCTGTCCGCAGTGTGTCCTCACACAGTCATCACCTGTCCGCAGTATGTCCTCACACAGCCATCACATGATCGCAGTGTGTCCTCACACAGCCATCGCCTGTCCGCAGTATGTCCTCACACAGCCATCACCTGTCCGCAGTGTGTCCTCGCACGGCCATCACCTGTCCGCAGTATGTCCTCGCACAGCCATCACCTGTCTGCAGTGTGTCTTCACACAGTCATCACCTGTCCGCAGTGTGTCCTCACACAGCCATCACCTGGTCGCAGTGTGTCCTCACACAGCCATCACCTGTCCGCAGTGTGTCCTCACATAGCCATCACGGCCGCAAACGGTGGAGCTTGTGTCGAAATCCCTCGCAAACGGTGGAGCTTGTGCCGAAATCCCTCGCAAACGATCAGCACTTTGTCAAAATACTTCAACAGCAGCGTCCAGGCCGTGTAGGTCCCAGGGAGGGGCGTCCCGGGACAACCCTCAAATTCTGGCGTCACGACGATGTTCGAGATGGCGATGGTTCGGCGAAGGCAACGTAACGTTGAGGAAGTCAAATCAATGTGCTAATTGAAGTGTTTTATGAGTTCCGAAAAGTGGATCAACTAGAAACTAACGTAGATATGATGAGATATGACGTTCATGTCTCCCTGTCCAGGCGGGCTGTGAGCTGAGCGATCGAACAGAAACTCTGACGAGATCGACAGTTGTATTGCTCTGCAAAATCAAATAAGCACTGGCCCATTGCAGAACGCAAAACGGCACTTACATAAGAAAAAACACTGGTGGGTAGTGATGCACAATGGAACGTTTTGTACACATACTGCTGCAACTTGCACAGTGGAGTGAGGACGGGCATAGCTCACTCGCCATGCCATAATATCGAATGACACGCTCGCCACACAACCGGCAAGAGCAGAGCAATACAGAAAGCGTTGCAACATAACGACATAAATGAGTGGTTAACTCAACTCCCATACGGACAACGTCACATATGCCCATCAAAAGATCCAACAAGCCCGGTGATGTACAGCACTCACAAAGCTCAAATCATACGCGACAAACCACTATGGCGACAAAAACGAAAGTCCAAAAAATATAGCGTGCCTAGCGCAACAACCCGAAAACATATCCTGCGGAAAACACCAATGGCACTCACCCTCCGTCGTTGACAGCAAAAACTAAGTCACGCAAGACGTAGCCGGCATTTTGACGACTGGGGGTACCAACATGGCGTCATTGGTCGTGTTGGACCCAGCCGTGTTGGTTTCCCTCATTTCCCTCCGCGCTTTGCGTCGGCGGTAGATGATGCAGAAGACGATGAGGTTCAGAACGCCCCCTGTGTTCGAAAAGGTGGTGACGAACTGGAAGAGCAGTTGTGGCGGTGGCTGTACCAGCTGCCACGTGCCGTACAGCGCCATCGCCCACCACTGCACGAAGAAGGCGGCCACAAGCAGCAGACAGGTTTTGGCGGCGGCCAGGACGGCGCCGCTGAGCGCCGAGTGACCCAGCACACGCTCGTTATGACGTGCCTCGCGGTAGATCTTGAGCCAGGTGAACACGTACAGCACGGCACAGGACACGAGCACCACGCCGAGCGCCATTGTCGTGAAGATGAGGCTGGCGACGGTGCCATGGACGGCGTCGAAGTAGCAGAAGGTGCCGGTCGGGCCGAACCCGCCGGCAGCCGCCACCACCGTGCCGAAGACGAACGGGGTGCCGAAGGTGTAGCTCAGAAGACGCCAGTCGCACGTGCCGAAGTTGAGCGCGTGACGCCGGTACACCAGCAGGCAGGCGTTGATGGCAGTGATATGGACCAGCAGGTTCTGCGCCGATATGAACTCGGACAGCATGAAGCCGTAGAAGGCGCAGAGTGCCGGCGGAGTGACGTGCCCTCGCTGGAGCGCGTAGTGCAGATGGTCCATCGAATGCGACACATTGAAGAGCAAGTCACAGAAGGCCAGATACACCACGATGCGGTCGCTCTGCGACCAGAGGAAAAACCGGCGCTTGTGCGAGCGAAACGAGCAGATGAGGGTGGTGAGTGCGCAGCAGAAGCTGCTCAAGATGCAGATTAGCGCTGCCACATGGATCACGTAGAACTGGCCGTTGTCCAGTCCGTAGACGGGCAGATCGTAGCCGGATCGTGCTGGCGACGCTCGGGTAGTATTGCCCGCCGCCAGCCGCTCTGCAAGGTAGGTGTCGTTCTCCATCGCCGACCGCAGCGACGTCCCGGCGAGTGGCCTCCTCCGGCGCCTGGGTCGAGGCGGAAGGCGACGCTTTCGGACCGCGTCCGGACAAGCGTGTCTTCTGTGGCGATCGTGTTCGAACGGAGGGGTCTAGCCCTGCCTCACCCGCTGTGATCGCGCGCGACCAGGGGTCTGCCCTGGGCAGCAGGTCACTGACTGCGCGACAAGCGCCGATCCGCCGTCAGCGCCGAGCGGCTCGACAGAAGATCCTGTGCTCTCCAGGGATGCTCTCCGACTCTGGCGGGGCAAAGAGGCAGCCTATCGCCTCCCTTTCCGCGCCGCTCATCTTCTGGGAAGAGCGGAAGTGACGCACTGACCAGAAACATCCGGCACTCAGGACTATCCGGTTGCGTGGTGCGAAGAACGCAAATACGTTCCCAACAGCGAACGGCTACGGCATCTTGGCTGCGAAGCGTCCTCGCGAAGAAGGTCCGGTTTTCGAGCAGCTGAGGACGCCCCCCCCCCCCCCAAGTGCATCGTTAAGCGCAGGTCTGAGGTTCCAAAAGGTAGTGTTGAACTCACTCTGCAGACGCAAAACTAATGCAACGTTTCAAGCGCAAGACCTCTCGAGAGAAACAAATTGTTTGGAAAAATATTTTTTATCAAACGAGAACGTGTAGATTACAGCTAGATACGCGTTAACATACAGGTTTGGTGCAAACAACCACTGCCGTTAACACGCCTTAAAATCGAAGACCTAACCAACGTACAGGCTTAGTAAAGCTTCTATATGTCGTAGTCGCATATATGAACACTTCGTGCTTGTGCCCATGCGAGCTGTATTTTTCCCGTCTATAAGTCCGGTCTCCATGGAATGGTAACATATTGGGAAAAGGAGGCATGTGGGGTAGCTATAACCCTAAGTATCTGCACTGATCTCCTCTATGTCAGATGAGCTTGCGCGTTGCGCTGCGGGATCCATCTTCCCCAAGGAACTTATACGCGTTCCTTTGGACGTTCATGAAACATTCTGACGGACCATGATTGGCCTTCCCTGGAAGTGTCAACTGTCCTGGGCCCCGACCGACCTTCTCCGGGCCACATGCCCGTTTTCAAAAGACGTCCCCGTGCCCCCTGTTGTTCAATTCCTGAAGTCCTCCCATTCGACGCGGTACATTGTGAACAAACACAATAGGAGCAAATCGACTCGGTATACTGATAACCTAGACCAAACCAGAAATAGGCTGGCTTTGAACACGAGACCTGAAATAAAACCGACTGATATTAAGCCGACTCTGCACATGACAGATGCAAACCAGCGGTGAAAACCAGCCCTGCAGGAATAAGCTCGATCTGGCGTGAAACCGACAGCCGTGTCCGCGGCTGCACCGGCGCAGTCGCGTGGCAGGCGTTACAGAGGCGGAACTGACGTGCGAAAAGGGCGTGTGGCGTAGATGCAGGCAAACATACGTCAGTATTTGACCGTTCAATCATCAGGGAGGCCTGAGTCATGATAACTGTGTCATGTGTACGGAGTGACTTACGAAGGTATAGCTGTGGGAATACAGATGTTAAGTCTAGCCGATGCAGCATGTATTTGGAACAGTATGAAATCATAAAACATACAAGAAAATCGCACAAAAGCCATTTTCCCAGGATCAAAAGGGTCGATGGTATTCAATCAGTCTCTTATCCCTATAGATCCATGCTCGATTAGCTGCTCCCATGCTTCATACGTCCTGCTCCTATACGGAGTGCAACTTATGCACATATTTTAGAGGCGCGTTGCCAGCCATGGCTGCGGCAATGCAAACAATGACGGCAGCAGATACCACATGTCCCTCCCCTACTCCAGCTCATAGGATTAGCTTGTCACTAAGAGAAACAACTCTATGAACAGACTTAGAGCCAGTTCCGGTGTCCGTACCTCGGTTCCTCGCCGTGCCCGCCCCTCCTGCCAGGGTGACAGGCAAGTGACGCCATGTGACCTCAGCAGATGAGTGCGTCGTAAAGCCCCAATGACGCACTTGCGGCATCCGTGCCAGTTTACAGATACAGCTATCTCTGGGTTTATATGTGGAGTTTGCGGTCATCTGCGCCTTTATGAGTGAGGATAAACAAAATGCGGTGTTCATTAGTAGCAGTGTTGTAATTTTGCGCTGGAAATACAATTATCTGCCTAGGTGTGCAGGAATGTCTTCAGCGGCCGACGTGGGGAGCCAGAGCCCTGGTAAGGAATGGGGACACGAGGTTGATAAAGGTCGCTGATGGTTGAACCCCCCTCCCCCCTCGCTTGAACACAATTATCACCGGCGTCGTTCAGTTGATCACGAGGGACATGATTTTCTTCGTTTTGTTTTTCTTTTAACTTCTTTTAGTGGACCAGAAGCCAGAGAAGCTGGCTGAAGATGTCATTCTATTTGTATTTTGAAGTCAGTCACCTAAACGGAACAATCGTTAAATGGCTGAATGTAATAAACTACCGCTGCTATTAATTCTTCAATGGTTAAGTGGACTCTTCGTAAACCAATCAGATGCAGAAGCAACGTTTGATCGAAAGGAAATGATTTGTTAACATGGCCAAGACATGCTTGTCGAAGCATGTCTTGTTCATCCTTCAGTAGGAATGGATTACTGGAAAAAGTAACATAATTCTGAACACACGCGAATGCAAGCTAAGATTCAAGGGCCATGCTCGCTCGGAAGCTCAGCTTGAGACCCATTCCGTCCCAGCGCGGGACGCGTGCAGACTACCATTCGGTCGACACGGAGCTGGGACTCCAAGTCGATCTGGAGGTCCCCTGGATGGATTCACCACGCATTGGTCCCCTCCCTGACCCGGGAGGCTCTCTGACCGGGCAGTTGACCCCAGATCGACGCAGTAACTCTCAATGACGTAACAACAGCACTCATCGCCGGTCTCATAATTGGCACATATATCCGGGTTCGGATTAACTGGATTGTAGCTGAACCGGGGTGGAGAGCGCCCCGCTCCCTGTTCGGGGCCCTGACTGATGCCCCTTCCCTCCTTCTATTGGCCTTTCCATTGTCTGTTAAGGACCCCCATCATAAGCCCGCGCATCTCTTTCACTGACGGATAGAGGAGATATAATGCGGAGGGGAGGGGAGAGGAGAAAGAGATTCTCCCCTCAATGTAATCGAGAATTTGTATCGTTTGCTCAACTCTTGTTCGGGGAATTCCGATCTAGAATTTCATCAGAGCAAAAAACAAAGCAAACGTGGTGCATCTGGATTCTGGTGGCTCTTGAAGTGGAAGTTTTGGGCTCTTCCAATCGTCCGCTTGTATTTGGTGCCTCTAAGAAATAAATGTTATGATGCCCCGAAAGGAAGGTTGTGCCACTCGCTGAATGGGCCGATGCAGAATTGTGTTTCCCCTGATATAAGCTCCTTTTTAAGATCGAGGTTTTAGGCCTTTAAATGGTCCACTCGTATACAGCGTCTGCTCAAAATGCGGGTTATGGCGCCTAAAAACCAAAGTTTCAATCAAAGAAATCAAAGTCAAGAGTGCATTGCCTCCTAGCCTCAGAGGCCAATCCAGGATCTTGTTACGATGAGAGGCACCACATTTTTGTGTCTCTGAGCTTAAGTGCCCCTTAAGAATATAGGTTTGGGACCCCTCGACTTCGGTGCATCTCAAAAATAAAGACACGGGACCACTTGTGCCCCTGAAATTTGGTGTCTCAATTTGGTAAGTAAGATAGAAGGCGGGAGGTGGGGGGGGGGGGGGGGGGGAGGGGGAGACATTGCAAAAAACAAAACAAAACAAAACAGGAGAGATGCTAACGGAGAGCAGAGTGCAGTGCCTCAGCTGTTCGCGCCAGCTCATCCACTCACATGTCGGTGACTGCGGTCGCCGATGGCGGAGCGTCTTCGTCCACTAGGAGCCCGGAGCCCTCTGGGCCGGAGTGCTGCTCTCCCCTGAACGTAACGCCCGCCGGTTTTGTTTCACAAGCCCCACCTCGCAGCTTTCAGTCATCAGCTACACTCATTCCTATTCGCACTCATGCTCAGATCCGTTTTGCACGCGCTGTTTCGTGTCCCGGGACAGGCCCGGGCCCCGGTAGCGAACGTCGGCATGCCCGGGGGTGATGCCTGGCCCTGAGTTTCCGGTGTCGTGGCGGTTTGCCTTGTTCTGATTGGCTCAGGCTCGGGCTCGAGCTCGGGCTCGAACCCCGAACTTTCCCGCGGAGCTGGTGGTTGTGTCAGCTTTCTCTGCTGTGGTCTGTTCTGCTTCTCCGCTCTGCATGAACCCTTCTTGGTCGTCCCCTGGAGGTCCGTTGACCCCAACGCGGCGCGAACGCGAGCTGCATGGGACGCGGCTTCGCCGGATGTCCCGCTCCCCGTTTTCCTCCCTGCTTCAGGCACGCTTTTAGCACCTGAGCGTGAGGCGCCGTCGCGCCGGGCCACCCGCTGCGCTCCGAGCCGGACCTCAGAATGGGACGCTCCCGCGAATGTCATCCCTCAGGCCCTCCCTGCAGGTCCCGGTCGTCTGCTTCGTTCGTCCCATTTGTGCTCAAAGTCAGGCCCGCTTTGCATGCGCTCTTTCTTGATCGACACCAATGATCTTGTTCTCGACAGAGCCGCTAGTTTCTCTTCCGGCGCGGCCTGTGTGCACAGACGCCTTGCCCGGCCTGCTGACACATCGCTAGCTGCCTAGCTTGCAGATAGCGTCCCATTTGCAAGGTTGAAAGCGCCTTTTCCGCCACCGACGAAACCCGGACAAGTCGAGCTTATCAGCTGGAGCCAAATCTGTCAGAAGTCGTTGCAATATGGCTCTTGATGCGATAAATCACGCAAAACAGAGATGAACCAAAAGCGATGAGCCAGAAACATCAAACATTTTCGTATTGGGAGTCTCATTTGAACTAAAGTATCATTTGCTGCCAATGCCAAAGGTCCAAGTGGTTAGGAAACAGTTCTCACTGTACAGGCGGCCAGAGGGGCGGGCTTAAGGCCGATGAACACGTCGGTGTTGCAAGGTGTAGCCCACCCACGAAATGCTG